GGGGGTAGCGGGGTGCGAGGGAGGGTGGGAGGTTTCCGAGGGTCTGAGCGCTTTGCTCAGGTCTGATCCTTAAATCCCCCCAAGTTCTACTTTCCCTGTCAGGTTTCTGTCTCAATCCGGATGTTTTTCTTTCCTACTTGATGAAAATTGTAGTTAAAACCCGGCCAGGCTGGAAAACAGAAGTTGAGGCGTTACCATGAATAAACCCTTTCCTGCAGAGTGCTTTATTACTTTGTTTTCATTCCCTTTTGGTAGATGAAGCATTTTGATGGCAGAGAAGCTTCATCTTTAGCTACACCCGTGGCCTGGACTCTCAACCTCTTCTTCCAGTTTAATAATCTGACACAGGTTGTCTCAGGAGACTCAAGAGTTCACTGAAATTTTCTGGCTGGGCTCTTAAACTTGTGTTTTAACTCCCTTGAAGGTTGTGGTTCTTGTTGATCAGGATCAGCAAGGGGTGACACACTCATGGTTGTTCCAGGCTGTTCTGGTCAAAAAATCTAAGCCTGTTATTGCCAGGACTGTAGACAGACATTATTGACTTACCAGCAGAGGAAAACCCTGGCAATAAAACCTAAATATCTGAAAAGCAAAACAAACCCCACCAAACCTCTGCAAAGCCCCCTTGTCCCCTCAAGAAAATATAAGTATTTGTGAGGGCCAGACCTGAACAAGGAACTTATGCAGGAAAGTAAATTCCCCAAACCAAAATGCTGCTTTGCTTTTGATGTTGAGACCAGATTTCCTTTCTAGGGGAAGGAAATACTTTACAACTCGCCATGAAACTTTGTGGAAATTAATGACACTTCTTTGTTTTTGCAGAATCGGGGGCGGCTGTCTGTGAATTTTTTTTAAAAGCGGCCTGTGGCAAAGGCAAGTGATATTTCCAGTGCAGTTATACCCAGAGAGGTGCAGGGGGGAGAATGGATTTTCTAACACTGTCTGCAGTACTCTTGGTTTTTGTAAAGATGAGGAGATAACCTGGGTAGAGGATAAAGCTGAAGGATGTTGGAATAACTGCAGTGCAGGTGAAATGATGGTATTTTTTGAAGAAGCTGGGAGGTGATTCATAGAATCATAGAATCATGGAATGGTTTGGGTTGGAAGGGACCTTAAAGATCATCCAGTTCCAACCCCCCTGCCAGCAGCAGGGACACCTTCCACTAGACCAGGTTGCTCAAAGCCTCATCCAACCTGGCCTTGAACACTTCCAAGGAGGAGCATCCACAACTTCCTTGGGCAACCTGTTCCAGTGTCTCACCACCTTCACAGTGAAGAACTTAAGCAAAGCTACCTGTAAAGGAAGACTTGGACTCACCACACACAGACCTTGCTGTGGATCTGCCTGTATTAGCTGCTGTGGTTTGTGGTTGCCAGGATTAAAAGCTGGAGACTATGTTGTTTAGCTTGTTAGAGAGACTTGTAATAAGACTTGTCCCAAGTGGTCATTGCCTCTACAGGCTAAATTAATACGAAAAGGTGATGGTTCTGAAACCTCTTGCAGAGAGGAACAAAGTGTTGCTGTTGCCCTGTGTGCTGCAGCTTTTAATTGTTCTTTTTTTTGCCCCTTCTTGTCCCATCCTTCCCCAGGAGGCATGTGCCCGTTCCGACACATCAGCGGGGAAAAGACAGTTGTTTGCAAACACTGGCTACGGGGACTGTGCAAAAAGGGAGACCAGTGCGAGTTTCTGCACGAGTACGACATGACCAAGATGCCTGAGTGTTACTTCTACTCCAAATTTGGTAAGGGGCGTTGTAGCTCCTACTTAGTGTTCCTTGCTGGCATGGGAGTCTGGTGAAGAAGATCCTGGTACATCCCTCTCATCCATCTTCAGAACATTACAGTTCTTTTGTGTCTGATGAAATTGTTAAGATTGTGCTTTTTCAGATCTGTTGAGCCCTTCACCTTCTTATCCCCCTAAATATGTGACATAGTGTAGATGTCTCTCAAGAGCTTGTCCCTTGGGGGAAGAGGGGGGAAGTTCAAGTTTTCACTGGATTTTTATGCCTTATGTTCTCTTTTGGGTATGAGATGAGTAGACTGAGCAGTTGGTCTTTGCATGACTCTTATTTTGGGGAGTTGATGAGCAGCAGAGGGTATGGGGGTGCAAAACTTTTATGCACTTGCTTTCCAGCTCTGGAGATCTGGACATAATGAGGCAACTTGCTGTCAGAAACTTACAGTCTTGTAGGTTTCCTTGGATTGAGGTTAGTGTCCAATTTGTAGTTTCTCCACACTTCTGGTGCACTCAATGTTTGGTTTTTGTTATCATGACTGCTCTTTCAAATTTAGTTTCCGCATTATTTTTAAAAGCACACATAAATAATCCAGTCTGGTAGGACTTTCCTCACCCAGGGTGAGTCCTTGGTGTTCTTCACCTAGGTTAAGGCAGGCAGTGAGACTGTTGTGCCTGAATTTAGCGATGTTGGTAACAGTTTTGTGGAAGCTCTGTGATTCAGGTGATGTTTTGCGAGTCATTAGATCTCAAACTTTACACAGTTGACCAAGAAGTGTGTTTCCCTTTGGTACAGGGGAATGCAGTAACAAAGAATGTCCGTTCTTGCACATTGACCCGGAGTCTAAGATCAAAGACTGTCCCTGGTATGACAGAGGCTTCTGTAAACATGGTATGTATATCACACAGTTATAGAATCACAGACTGGTTTGGGTTGGAAGGGACCTTAAAGCTCATCCAGTCCCAACCCCCCTGCCAGCAGCAGGGACACCTTCCACTAGACCAGGTTGCTCAAAGCCTCATCCAACCTGGCCTTGAACACTTCCAGGGAGGAGCAGTCACAGCTTCTCTGGGCAATCTGGGCCAGTGTCTGACCACCCTCACAGTGAAGAATTTCTTCCTAATATCTATTCTAAACCTCCCCTCTTCCAATTTAGAGCCATTTCCCCTTGTTCTGTCATTAACTGCCCTTATGAAAAGGGCAGTTGCTGCCTCTGTGGCTGTAAATGACGGGTAGGGTGTTGCTATTCTTTCTTTGCATGATCTGCTTGTGTACCTGCTGCTCCTGAGCGCTGGGCCACGTACAGGTGGAACGTGAACTATTGAGCTTTGTGTTGCAGGTCCCCTCTGCAGACACCGGCACACTCGAAGAGTCATTTGTGTGAATTACCTGGTAGGATTCTGTCCAGAAGGGCCTACCTGTAAATTCATGCAGTGAGTATGCTTCCAGGCTTCTCCTGTCACCCTGTGTTTCACTTGAAATCCAGTGTATGTCAAATGAGGGTGCTCCAGTGCTTCCCAATGGCTTTGGAGGTTTGGCCAATGTTTAGTTTGTTGTACCAATTTGAGGATGCGGGGCAGGGCCTTTTCAGGGAGTTGCCAGTAGGACTCTGATGCCATCAGTGTGGTGGGATCACATGGGTTTATATTCCAGAAGACTTCACAGCTAGAGGAATATATTACCTCCTGGATTGGCATTTTCTAGAGGGATATTCTTACCTACTGAATTGGCATTTGCATATACATGATTGCTGAGCCTCAGAATTTAAAGAGAAGTGGGGAGGGGGAGGTCTCTTTCCTGCGAGCTGAATTTAATTGGCTGAATGTTTTGTTCTTTGGAGTTAATTGATTGAGCTGATGGTAAAATGTTGGCATAAGATTTGAGAATCAATTTTCTTGTTTCCATCTAAACCAGCCCTCGGTTTGAACTGCCAATGGGAACCACAGAGCAACCACCACTGCCTCAACCGACACAAACACAGCAAAAGGTACACGATTCCCCTGCCTCCCCTACACGCCTGTCCTCAAAGCATTTCCCAAAAGAGGGTGTATTGTCTAGTAGTCAAAACTGGACACCTGGGCTTGCTGGAAAGTCTTGGAGAAATTTTCACTTAATAAGGGAAAACCTTTTCTGGTTTACAACAGGGTGTGCTATTCTTTTGTAATTAAGAACTTGGAGACAAATCCTAATAAAACACAAAGCATTGTCCCTTCTCTTCTCATAATGTCCACCATCTGACCCCAACAGGCTGCTGTTGCCTTTGTCCTGGGACCCTGGTGTTTTGCTTTGTTCTCTTTCTCCCCTCACCTTGGTTAACCTTCTCAGTCCTTAGTAGTGTCCTCCAGCTCACAGGCCAGCAGTGGCAGTTGTGTTGCTTGGGGCACTGCGTGGAAAGGGAGGCTGCTATGCAAGAATTAAGAAGTGAGTGACCCCGAGTGCCATTATAGTGCTAAAAGCTCTACAATTGCTCCTGCTTTACGTGGAGATCAAGTCACAACGCTCCCATGTTACATAGAAGCACATCCTATGTGGTTGTGCAGTAATCTGCCAGTTTCTCTAATCTGCAGGACATCTCTCAGTGATGGCAATGAATTTAGCAGCCTAAACCTACTCTCTAAATCTGCTTTCCAGAGAAAAGTGGGATTGTTGGACTTTGTAAGCCTCAGTGCTTGATTTCTTCCCTCTGGTGCTCCAGCTGGCAGAGCACCCACACCCAGATTTGGAGAAAAATTGATCATTTAATATATGGGGTGCTCTTTTTCCTTTCTTAATAAAATAACAACCATAAAGGTCATTATCCTTGATGCACTTAATGAGTCAGAACTCTTCTCCTAACCAACAGAGGACACCCCAAGTCATTGGAGTCATGCAGTCTCAAAATAACAACACTGGGAACAGAGGACCCCGGCCGTTGGAGCAGGTCACCTGCTACAAGGTAATTGAGAGGGGAGGGAGGAGGAGGGAAAGCAGAGGGTGGTAGATGGAAGAAGTACAGAGTGCAGGTCACCCAGACTACACCAGGCTGCTGTGCTGCTGGTTGCTTGTCACGGGCAGAGGGATGGACTGTTGTGATGAGGGGGGTTGGTCCTGTGAAAGGTTTTTTCACAGTGTGAACAGGTTCATGAAATGCACGCTCTGCTCCACGGACGTGACATTTTGTGTGTGGATGCAGCTGTGGAGTTAGCACTGAGGTCTGAGGCCTCTAGGTCACTGGTTTGCCAGTTCATGGACAATTAATGCTGCTGTAGGACAGATTTTGCTCGTCTACTAATAAAGAGGAAACCCTACCACAACAACAGTTAAAGGAGACTGCTAAACTGTACATTTCAAAGTAGAAGTTAATTTAAGTTTTGTTTCATGAGTTAATTTGCTTATACTTGGTGATTGTGGAAAGATTTTTCTTCTCTCCTGTTAGCGTGGAATCCAGGTCCTTGTGAGTACCAAAAATTGAATATGCAAAGACTGTTCAGTATTTCAGTTGTAAATGCACCTCGTTGCTGTCAAACCAAGGAATGAGCTGTTCACCTTGGTTGCTCATTGAGGAGCACCAGTAAAACTTTGACCCAGCTGAGTTTCCATTTCTCTTTATGTTTCCACAAAAGCCCTAAAGTTAGCTACTAGAAAACAGCAAAGAATCTTCCTGTCCCGTCAGCTTTGACAGTTCCATCATTGTATGTGCCAATTTCTGTGCCTTAGGTGCTTGTTTAGGTAAAAATTATTGTGATGGGACAGGGATATTAAGTAGTTGAATCAGTTTCACTGAAAACCTTGAATAGCTGCTTATTATTTTAGCTGTAATTACATATCTGAAGGATGCTGTTGAACCAGATACCCACATTTCTTTTTGGGCTTGAATAACTTCAAGGTGCAAAGTCATGAATCTCTTGTTCAGATGCACTTTTCTCTGCCTAATTCAGGATAGCTGGTTGGGAGAGTAGTCCCCAGGTATCTCTGATGTAAGCCTGTATCAGGTGGAGTTGTCTTGGAAGCCTCAAACACTGAAATTCTCCCTGTGTGTGACAGCCCTTTGCCTCTGTAGTGGTGTGCTGAGTGTGTTACAATAACATGGCATCAAGTTGCTCCCAGCACAGAAGCAGCTTTTGCTCCAAGGACTGGAAACAGCCCCGTACATCATGTCCCTTGTGACACCATGTTTCACTTCACCGGCTAAATGCTGCATCTTCCACATGCAGAAGAGCTTCCAAATGGGAACAGTTGTTGGCTACCTTAATAAAGGCAGCTAGAGGAAAAAAAGAGCTGTAACTGTGTAATAACTCCTCTCTTTCTTCCTCTTTTAGTGTGGTGAAAAAGGTCATTATGCCAACAGATGCACCAAAGGACATCTGGCCTTTCTCAGTGGACAGTGAAAGAGCAGAAGGAAGAAGCGCAAGGGAGCTGTTAACACTGAGAAAAGGTTTCTGCCTAGCACTATGTCTTGAACTATTAATCAGGTTGTTTTTTAATGCCATTACTGAAAGAACTGGTCAGAGGCTGGCTGCTGCTAAGCAACGTTTTTGTAATTGTCCACAACTTTTTTTTTGTTTTGTTATGTTTTAACCTTTTTAAAACTGATTTTGGCCTCCTCCCTCATTGAGCCCAGCTGAAAGGTAGATCTAAAAGCAAATAGATTATTACAAACCCCTCACCGGTGCGGCGCTCTACGTAAACGCATCTTAACGCCAGTGTTTCTTTAAAGTGTTTTCCTTCTGCCACTTCTCTTTGGAGAACTTGTAAGTGTTTCAGCCCTCCCTGTGGAAGCAGGAAGACTGACTGGGGAAAACTTAATACTTGAAATGCCTTCCCTTCAGTGAAAGAAGCAGGGATTCTGCTGTCCTTGTAGCTCTTAAAAAGCAAAGTCTCGTTCCCACGTCCAGCCTGTTCTAGTTGGTAAGCTTGTCTTGGTGGCTGACTTAACGAATCACGTACATCAGGCTGTAAAAACTCTTGTCCACTTGCTTTGTTTCTGTGCTTCTTGCTATACTGAAGGTTAGAAATTAATCTTCTGGGTGAGAACCTATCAAGGGGAGAAAAAAATTGTCATCTCTGTGATTAGCCAAACGATGAGGAACAATGTAGGAAAAGCCCCGTCTGTGCTCATTTTCCATTTGCAAAAAGCAAGGAGGGAAATGAACACGGCTCGAAGAGGAGGAGGAAAGAGCCTTGTCTCAGCCCCCCATCATCCAGCTCACACTGAGCAGGTATTTCCACAGCCTAGAGAAGACTGAGAAGTGGAGCTGTATATTCTTAGGGAACACTGCTTTTAAAAGTGGTAGAGCATTCTTCCAAAAGCAATTTTTTCCAAGCCAAAAGCCATTCATTTTGTGAGAAGACGATTTCAAAAGGGCCAATGATAAAATGTGAATTAAAAAAAAAAAAAAAAAATTGCACCTACAATATGAGCCTTATTGATTCTAACCCACCTTTCATCTGCTGCCTGCCTTGATACTTTGTTTTTATTGAAATGTAATGATGGAAAAAGCTGGCTGTGAATTTATTATTTTTTTTTTAAGAACAAGGTAATGTGACTAGATTAAGAGAAGTGACCAGAGCCTGTGTTGGTTTGAATGACTGCTGTTATTTCACGGGGGATAGTTGGAATCAGTCAAAATGGAATTTTCAGGTTAAAGTGACTGTGCTATGACAGACCATGGGACACTTCTCAGAACACATTGTGCCCCCAGAGACTGAACAGCAGCCAAACTACGAGTTGTGTGTACCTGGGCACGTGGAGAGGGAACTAAAGGTGTCTGGCTGCCTTCCCTGTCTAGTTCAGGAAAAAGTTTATGGTCTTCACTACCTGAACAGATGTTTTCCAAACCTGAAAATCCATCTCTTGCCACTGGAGCTCTTGAGAGATTCTTTTTATCCCTTAACAAATGGTTTTCATTCTCCCTCCTGTTCAGAAAAGGACACAGCAGGTCCTACCTGCGGTGCTCAGCTGCAGTTTCAAACATGAAAAGGCAGCGTTGTGACTGTGGGGTTGTGACAGTGGGGTACCAGGAAGGTCACCAGCTGGGGCCAAACCCACTGATGCACATTGGGTTAAAGTTCTCACCACGGCATTTAAGTCAAGAAGCAAAGTTTTCCTTCAGTTTAACGTTGTGGATCTTTATATTAAAGGCATTTTAAGCTGATACCCATTCAGAATAACCTTCCAGTTTCTTTAAGCAATGAAAGTAGGTAGGGGTTTGATAGAAATAGGTTATCGGAGGTAAGAAGCACTTGCATCCCAGTGACAGAATGAGAGCTGCAGACCTCCTTAAAGCTCAGCCCATTTCATCCCAGGCAGTGCTCCGTAATGATGGAAAACTGCCCCAATACCTACAGTCCCCGGGTGACAGCCTGCGTGAGAATCAGAAACATGTGGCCACATCAAGCCCCTTAAAGCTCAGATATTCTTCCAAATCAAAATAGTAACTTTCAGCTAGTTGTCCAGCCTGTACCTAGTGACCATTTAGGCCATTAAGAAGCAATTCAATGCTTTTTACTTTTATAAAACAGTTAAATAGGAATAAATTGTAATAGTTTCCCCAGTTTATAATGCAACCCAAGTAGCAGACACTTTCCCAACCATCTCTGAACTTTCTTTCAAGGGTGAAACTCTCCGAAGACAAACTCACACCCACAGTCCAATTAACAAGTCAGTGAAAGTGTCACCTCAGTAAGTGTAAAGTGTATGCACTTTATTATTGGTCATAACAGTACAGATTTTAGAATGAATAGTTGTGATGTCTTCTGTCACAGTAAATGTTCTAGTAGCTGAGTCTGTTCATGAGTTGTACCTTCAGACTTCAGTGGTACTTCCTGTGACGGTCATGCTCTGTATCATTCAAAGTAAAACAAGTTAATTTTACTGAAGTCACAAGAAAACAAACCACCACATTTGAAATTACAGGAAAGAAAGCACTCTAAAAAGATCTGAGTGTGTAGTTTCTAAGTCCTGTCAGGTCAGACAGGCAACAAGATCTAAGGTTTCTTCATCACCAAGAAAATACTGGCCATCTGATAACTTACAAAAAGCATTCAAGTTCTCTATGGCTAGAAGTTTGCTTGCCCACAGTCTCAGATCAAACAGCAATTGAAATCAAATTCAAATAAAATTAATCAAAGCACAGTCTTTTATTTCTAGAAGCAGCAGCAGATTAATGGTTTTTATTGCCCCAAGCAGTCCTCCAAGCTGCACACCACAGACTCAGCTGTACTGCTTTTACTTACTCAGGTGACTGTAGCTCCAGATGTAGCTGACAACAACATACCCAGCGAGCACCATGGAGATGCCACCAAGGCCCCCTTTCCTCACATTGATGTATTTATTGTAGTATCTGTCATAACCTGTGGAGGAGAAAAAGGTTGGTTTTTGTAGCAGCCAGATGAGTTGTGTATTTTTCTGTGTCAGAAAGCAGCAGCCTGGTTTCACAGTACTTCAGGAAACTGTTTCTAATGAAACATCTGAGGGTCTTGGAAGCAAGTGTGAGAGAAGGCAACCTGTGTGTTAGTTAAGCAGGTGAACTCAAGAGCACTAAGCCTTAAAAAAGAAAAAGAAAAAAGCACCATTCATAATTTTTCCCTAACATTATCGTGACTTTCATGAGCTCAAGCTACTTTGGAATTATCTAATTCTTTCATATTAATGTATATACATTATGTAGGCACTTGCATTTGATCTTTTGTGTTTAAATCTACCCAAATGCCACATCTGTCCCCATAGCAAAGGGCACTGGTCAAAACTTTTGCAAAGTGATCTATAAAGGCCCTATGTCCTTTCTTACCATCTTTAGGGATCAACTGCATTTTTTTGTTTGTTTACTTGTGATACTGGGAAACCTCAATATTTTCAGCAAATAGGTTCAGGAGTAAGGTCAGGATATTTTGTTTTTATACAAGGAGTACTGAAAACAAACCTCAGGTGGACAAAGCTCATGAGATAAACACATTTAC